ATCTAAAACACGACTACAATACAATACCTGTACACAGTGAGTGATGAGTATCTAAAACACGACTACACTACAATACCGGTACACAGTGAGTGATGAGTATCTAAAACACGACTACAATACAATACCGGTACACAGTGAGTGATGAGTATCTAAAACACGACTACAATACAATACCGGTACACAGTGAGTGATGAGTATTTAAAACACGACTACAATACAATACCGGTACACAGTGAGTGATGAGTATCTAAAACACTTCAAACTCTTTAAGATAACACTACTCAAAATGAGGCTTTACTGACACCTTCCAACCACTAAATATCAACTCATTAATTTTGTAAATAAGCCTAACTTCACTGATTTTGAAACTGTATTCATCAGATTTATAGATGTTTAAAGTGAAATACTAGATGACATCTTGGAAACACAAAGTGTATGGTTAGGCCACCTGGTGAGATACGTCGATTTACTGCTGTCTTAGCTGTAGGAAGTAAAATAGAAAATTAAAAAAAAATCCGAGTTTATCGGGGTGCAAAAAAAAATGGAAGTTTGATTGTTGTTAAGAGCAACGGGCTATCTGTGCTCTGCCCACCACGTGTATCGAAACCCAGTTTTTAGCGTTATAATCCTTCATTCTTTGCTGAGCCACTGGACAATGAGCCAATAGCAGTATTGTTTGTTACAAAAGAAGTAATTCTTTCTTATTAGATATGTTTTATACCATAGTGAGTTTAGGAAGACTTATAGTAACTGTGGCACGCGGTATTCCCAGAAGAAGAAAAAAAAAGATTGTTTTTTTTTATAGCTCGCGTCCGGGAATTAGACACGGTTGTTTCTGAATAGAACTTAATAAGTGAATTATACTTAGCTGAGGTATCAACGAACTGTTCATAAAATCAATAACTAAATGATATTCGGTAGAGGAATAAACGAACGTTTCACACTTTCAATCAACGTCAATAAATTTGTTTCAATATTTACGTTCGAAAGTAGTGATAAGTTTGGTGACGTAACTTGGATTTGTTATGTAACGAGAAACACACAGATGCCAAACGCCCTGAATATGCCGCGACTAGTAGTACTGTATGTTGTATGTATCTATATAAATATAATAGTACTGTATGTTGTATGTATCTATATAAATATAATAGTACTGTCTGTTGTATGTTATTTATATAAACAGTACTATTATATTTATATAGATACATATAACAGACAGTACTATTATATTTATATAGGTACATACAACATACAGTACTATTATATTGTTGTATGTATCTATATAAATATAATAGTACTGTCTGTTATATGTATCTATATAAATACTATAGTACTGTCTGTTATATGTATCTATATAAATATAATAGTACTGTCTTTTATATATCATATAACTAATTTGCGGGTTTGGATGGATCTTCACCAAAACTAGTATGGAGGTTCATTAGGTCCATGTGGGGGGTACATACAGATTTTCAGTTTTGTGCTTTTTATGGGTGTTTTTTACCACTACCTTACCCTCCTGTGGATGGATCTTCACCAACGTTGGTATGGTATGAAAAGGAGTGTAAGAACTATTAAGGTAGGGTTTTTAGTTCTGTTTAACATCTTTTTTAAATAAATGGGCAGAGATTGGGAAGTTTTAGATTGTAGAAATTTTTGAGTGGTTTCATTTCTACTTTAAGGTTGTATCAGAATTTTAAGGATAACTACCTTCACGCAACTGGCTACAGAGAGTGAAAGGCAGTAGGAATTGAGATGTTGTGGGTGTAAGAACTCAGATCTGTACCCTTAATTGATCTTCCATGACATGCTGGTTAGTTTATCATCAGCATTTGGATTTTGTCTGATAGATTGAATATCCCAATGCATTTGGATGCAATTACTACAGGCATTATCTGTTATGACTTTAAGATGACAACTAGAACCAACAATGGAAATTTATTACTTAATTCTACTGTAATGTTTGTTTTATATATGTTATTGTATATATTTAAAGACAGTCTTTACCCAAAGAAAACTCTTTCATTAATTCCAGCAGATTGTAATTTGAAAGTGATTTTACATTCTACACTTTCTCTTTTAATTTTAACGATAGAAGCACATTTAAGAATCGAAACATTCCTGAGATTTAAAATACTTTGTTGTTATTTTTGATCCGTAAAAGATACAATAAATTACAGTTCCACTAATATGGACAACTAACTTCATTTCCACAGAAGCTAACAGACAGTCATACTTGCTTTGATTACAGCTTTAATACTGTAACTAAGGATGTTTACACATCACAAACTTTTACCAATTCTATCTTATTTTACATAACTAGACCCTAAAAAACATTTTTATTAGTGCAAAAGTAAACAAAACTTGACATTGTTCATCAGGGCCTTGGAGAGAAATCCTGGGCCCTGGTGCTTCCCCTGATTTTTGGGCCCTTCATCCTTTCTTAACCCCCTCAATCATGTATATTATTTTTTTCCCTTGAAAGACTCACCAAAATGCAGTATAAGCATATAAATACTCATTTTTTGAGAAAAAGACAGAAGGAAGACTTTTTGGTATCATATGTGTGGACAATATTTGCTTGAGTCCGGGCCCCCCAAGGGTACAGGCCCTGGTGATTTGCATCAGGTGCATCCACCTCTCCTGAGCCTTGTTGTTAATGCCGCACGTGTGTTACTTGTGAATCAAGTACAAATATACATGAACCAAAATTGACTTTCTACATTACAGCACAATCTTCATGTATATTCAAAACAGTAACTTAATGTATTTGATGTACATACTTTGTCGGCTTGCTTATTGGCAAAATATTGTGAAGAGTAGTTGAATGCTTATCGTACATCTTTGATAAAACAAGAACCGCAAGAACAAAGACTAGCCTGTGTGTGTGTAGTATCAATGATATATTGATTCTGGCTCTGACATATACCCAGGGCTGGATTAAAGGTTAGACGGGCCTTGGACTATATTTTTCTCTCAGGCCTATTATGATTGTGACTAAATGGGCCTTTTATTTTGGCCATATAGCATCCACCTTAATGTATCTTGCATTGATCTTATTAATGCAAATATACACAATCTTCTTTGATAGATTGTTTAGGCAGAGTATTCATGATGAAACTTGGTTGAATGTACAGCAACTGTCCGTTGTAGAAACTCAAGTGTATAGAATGATGTTTCGAAAGTCTTCCGCTTTTCATCTTCAGGTCAGTGTGTGTGTGTGTGTCGGTTGAATGTACAGCAACTGTCTGTTGTAGAAACTCAAGTGTATAGAAAGATGTTTCGAAAGTCTTCCGCTTTTCAACTTCAGGTCAGTGTGTGTGTGCGTATGGTGTTGTCGGTTTTTACAGTATTTTGGTGGATTGTGGAGAGCATGTTATGATTGATTGGTTTATCCCTGTTTCTGATTGGTGGAGAGACTTCTTGTAGATTCAATGAATGGTAGTCACAGGTAACTCACCTCTAATCTGGAATCTTTGTTTAGTGAAGGTTTTATTCTGTTAATGTAAAATGATTAAGCCATCGACTTAACCACTGCTGGACAGGAAGACAGCTTGCCTCCTCTGACTTTCTTCATGGCTTTTCTATAGCTCTTGTCTCTATTCTCTGGTTTATTTCAACAAGTACAACTAAAAACTTAAATCACTAAAGTAATGTAATCTCACGTACAGGGTTGAAAGGGAACAACAGTTCCCAAACACCCCAGTTGGGAAGAGTAGGCAAACAAAGTTTGCTTTCTCTTCTTTCAAACTAAATTACTGCCACTAAAGATGAAAAACTTTTGAAACGTCGTCCTCTACAGTTGCCTTTCATTCAACAAAATTTCATCCACAATCTTGTATTTGCTGAGTAGCATAATTAAGGGACAAATTTGCTTAAAGAACACTATAATTAATCAAATACTTAAGTTTAGTTTATAGTGTGTTTTGTGGAGAATCAAATCTTTGAACCATGTTTTTTTAGGACTTATAGGTAAACTACAATTTCTGGTCATACAATTATAATTTTTTCAAAAGATTGATAATGGAAGTTCTTGTTCTTCAAACATTTTAAATAGTCCAAATTCTTTTAATTACAAGAGGTACAAATTTGAAATTATGGTTAATTCTGTTATCTTTAAAAAAAAACGTAATTTCATCAAAAATCTAATTCACAATGCAACAAACTACAATATCCATAAAATAAAATACTGAAAGTATTTTTAAACATAACTTGGAAGTAAAGACATTTGTTTTTTAACTTTTACTTTGAAATCAAATTTCTAAATATGTTACACTTTAAAAAAGTAAATCAGAACAACTGTTAGAAAACTTACCATTTCAAACTGGGCAATTGTACGTATTCTGATGTTGTATCTTTCACCAGCCTTCAGTGGTACGTTAGTAAACCCACCATAAGTTTTTCCATCACCCACGACAAAATTATATTTGGAATGTTTTGAAACTTCAGAAGCATCCAGTTCTGCTGTTATGTAATAAGGAATTTTATTTTCCACACTTCCTTTGTAGCCCATCAGTTTAATCTCATCCACACCAGCTGTATTGTGAGCTGCCTCAACAATTATCTGATATTTTCTGTCAAGTAAAATCTAATATTTTATTTTTTAAAACTGATTATTCCAGTGTAAAAAAAACAAAACATCATATACAACATTTTAAAGACTTTCCAGTAAACAAGAAATATTATGCAATTTTAATTTCAGCATGAAATTTTAATGCGTTGTGTTTTACTCATTACCTAACCAAACTGCTATGTTATACCTCACACATCTGTTCTCTCGGCACACATATATATATATTAACATTTCCTAACAATGAAGATGTATTTCCAGTAGAAACTTATCTCTTCTCACCCAAAGCTATCTTGACCTTGATTTGCCCTCTAAGCATTGCTAAAATTTTTCAAAGCACCCCAATCTTTTATACTTCATTTTTTTGCACCATTGCAGCAACATGTGCTGATCATGTGACTACCCTTCACCAATTATACTGTGCCACCTATACTAGTGCAGGTATAGCTCCCTCTACCATTGCAGCACAATCCTGACTTTCGAGAATTACCTCCCAAAGCTGGAATCCCATATTGAAAAGGTGAAGGGGCCAGTGAAGGTGCAAAAGTAATCAAACAAGCAGAGAACAACTGCTGTGAAAGAACAGCTGTGCCACAATTATAAAAGGAGGCACACCTGTGGGGTATAGCACTACTTCTGGAACAGGTATGCTCTTTGACGAGTAATGAACAAAGTAAGACACATAGGGTGGAACTTAATAGACAGACACCATGTCATGTAATACAGATTCCAACCATAGACAACAGATAGTACACAAGATGTCCACATATGTAACAAGCATGAGCATGTGACACAATCATAGTCAGATTTGAAAAAGGTGCCTGGAATTAGATATAAGAATACATCACTACGGGCTAAAGGACCGTAAATGTATATGAATAGGCCAAGTGCAGTCTGCCCGGGTAAAAAATATCCAGGGAAAAGTCTTGGATTTATATTAAAATAGCCAAGTGTGGTCAGCCTGAGCAACACATCCAGGGGAAGCACCTTGGTATACATCAGATTATGTCAAGTGCAGTCCGTCCGGGGAGAAAACATCCAATGGAAGAACCTTGCATAGTATTTTTCACTTTAAATGCATTGTATGTAACAGATTTTGTGACCAACAAGTGCAGTCAGCCCAGACAAAAACTTTTGGGTGAAATGCCTTGTGAAATTATGGCGTATGTCAAGTGCAGTCCATCCAGGCAAAAAACATCCAGTGGAAGCACATTGTATAAGATTGATTGATATTTTGAATGTAATATTCTAAGAGATTAACAAGTGTGGTTTGCCTAGGTAAAAAACATCTGGGATAAACGCCTTGTGATGTGATGTAGTATGACAAGTGTGGTCCATCCAGGCAGGAAACATCCAGTGGAAGCACCTTGCATAAGCTTATTTGTTCCATATCTTCTACATAAGTTAGTCAGAGATTAAGTGTGGTTTGACCAGACAAAACATCCAGGGGAAGCTCTTTGTGATATTATTGAGTATGTCAAGTGTGGTTCATTTGGGCAGAAAAAAATCCAGTGGAAATGCCTTGCATAAAAAAAGATTTTTTTTTGAACAACAAGTACAGTCAGCCCAGGCAAAAACACCCAGGTAAGCACTTTGTGTGTTACTGAGTATAGCAAGTGCAGTCCATCGAGGCAGAAAACATCCAGTTGAAATGCCTTGTATAAAAATTGTATTTCATGATCAACAAACGTAGTCTACCTGGGTAAAAAACATCCAGGAGAAGTGCCTTGGATTGAGCATGTTATGATATTGTAAAATATGAAATATAACGACGAAAGCCCTCACGTCATAGAGTGAGTACATGTGACTATGACGTTTGTTTTATTGTACAAATCCCACTCCAGAGAAAACCTCCATGGTCCCCTACTCCAACAACTAGGAACCAAAATCCCACTCCAGAGGAAACCTCCATAGTACCCTACTCCAACAACTAGGAACCAAAATCCCACTCCAGAGGAAACCTCCATAGTCCCCTACTCCAACAACTAGGAACCAAAATCCCACTCCAGAGAAAACCTCCATGGTCCCCTACTCCAACAACTAGGAACCAAAATCCCACTCCAGAGAAAACCTCCATGGTCCCCTACTCCAACAACTAGGAACCAAAATCCCACTCCAGAGGAAACCTCCATGGTCCCCTACTCCAACAACTAGGAACCACAATCCCACTCCAGAGGAAACCTCCATAGTCCCCTACTCCAACAACTAGGAACCAGAAGTGGCAAGGATTCCCAAGTCTGGGGGAATGACACACTGGACCTATTTTGAAAAGCAGAAAAACCCCAACTGTTCAAATTATGGATCAGTAGGATGGGCAAAAATACCCATTGGCTTTACTTATGAAAACCAGGAGTGATGGTCCGTTATATATGATACAGTGACAAGAAAAAAATAGCAATATAGATAAGCAGCTGGTGATCTTACAGAAACATCCCATCTTTACAGTAAGCATTATGGAAGTATACAGATTTAGTGCCAAGATATAATATTCAGCATACATGATCAAGCAACACCCGCCTCCAGGTGGGATCCTGAAATATGGTGTATATCAACAAATTAATATAAAAACAATGTATGTGCAACGCATAGAGGTCAAATGTTAGCTACACTACAGACATGTAACAGAGAATTAAAGTAAGATTCAATGTATTCATATCAGTCAAACTTTAGAAATACATGTATATATAATACACATAGTATTCAATGACCATAGCACAAATTACATTACAGATGTTTACACGTTTTGTATACAGGGTGGTCAATGATTTCAAATCGTTTTATCTGATTCAGATGTGAACAGTAATTATGCATGACAGACTGACTGACAAAGAACCAACAAGTTTTGATGCTGCAAGTCAAATATAATCAGAAGAGATTTAAGAATGGACAACAAGATTTTCAACCACCCTGTATAACACAACCAGATGTTCCGGCACCAGCTATATTACACACACGTGTGTGTATATAGTACTTTATATTAAAGCAATTTTGGAGTTTTCTACATTGTTACAGTCCACGTCACCGCATATAGTCATGCTCTATTTGATGACCATGCATCTTGAAAATAGCCCTGCAGTGCAGTTTCCATTGCAAAAAGGCTCCGTCATAAGGCTGTCATTTCTAAAGCACACCCCCTGTACCCTCCCTGCATACTTTCCATAAGCCAGGTAATGTACGACGACAACAGTTTTCCAATGCCTGTTTCAACAGTTTGATTGCACAAAAATCCAATGAATTGAATGTTATGTCTTCATATGAACTAGCAAGAAAAACCATTTCATTTTCCAGATACTTGAGGTATATGATGGGTGAATATGTATGTCATGAAAGAAACTTGTGTATACCTGACTTGTGTCATTTTTACAAATGGAGATCCTTCTTGATTATGTTTTGTGTACTTTAGTGTCAGACTCATAGAAAGCTATTGACAGTGAGCATTATGTTC